CATTATCGAGAATGTGGCCGTAAAAGTTGGACGAGTACACGTCCTTGTTAACGCGCTCGTAATAGATGTACATTCTTATTCCGTGTTGTTGGGATTACCTTGGGCGATGGTGGTGGGCGCACGTCTGCATTTCGATTCGAAGCAACTGGTGCTCACACAAACTGGAGGAAAACCTCAAACTATTTTTTTGCGAGTTTCCACCCGAACGATGAAACGGGACCCCAACCCGGCCCAAATAGGGATGATCCGGTACATTGACCCCAACGAATGCTCTCCCTCGCGCTTCGGGGATGAAATCAGGGAACAAGAATACGAAGAAGAGATGCCCAGTGAAGAGGAATGAAAATATCTGGTTGAACTTTTCGAACACGAAACCCCTGAAGAATTTCGAGTGTGCCCCGACACCACTCGAAGTTTCCACGTGGATTCTGAAGACAGTGCATTCACGCCTCTAACAACCCAGGTCAGTCCTTCAGCCCTCCTCGGGGAACCCATATTGCAAGTTTCCGACCTGGCTGATGATTTGGAACCCCCTCGCACATTGTACGAGGGAACTCTTTCCTTACGAACGCGTTATCAACAAACGGAACAGTATTTGGATGTTTCTGTTTTTCCACCCAGACCATTACTAACGACAGGAGCCACCATCGCCTTGATTAAACAAGAGGCGGAAGCACCGGTAAGTGACGTACCTAATCTGATGCAAGAAATGACAGATCTAACAGGGCTAACTGTGGAACCGACTTCGGTTGGTTCAGAAACCGATGCTGAAGCCAAAGAAACGGAGATGATCAGGCCCGCTGAGTCTCAGATGATAGCAACTGTCTTCTCTGTGCCCACAAGTAGTTCCGTTTTCTCTAGTGTCAATGAGCGGCGGGAGCGGCCGGTTGATTGGATCGATATCCCCCTTAAGATGTCCAGGGAATCAACGATCAACCTCCCGAGTCACGTTCCCGCGGAACTACGAAAGTCGTTAATCCGTGTGTTAAATGGTTACGCAGATGTATTGAGCATACACGATAATGACATCGGCCTGACAAATGTGATCGAGCATGCTATCCTCACGGGAGACCACCCACCCATTAGCTGTGTTCCTTGACGATATTCACCAGCTCAACGAGCGACCGTTTTTCAGCGGATTAAGGAGTTCGAAGCTAATGGATGGATCGAACCCGCTATAGGACCATGGTCTTTCCCTGTAGTAATCGTACCTAAAAAGGCTGGAGGGATTCGCATTTGCATTGATTACCGAAAGTTGAATGATATCACGATCAAAGATGTGTACCCCCTCCCCCGGATTGATGAGTTGTTGGATGCGATTGGGAGTGCTCGATTTTTCAGCAAGTTTGATGTTCGCCATGGGTTTCATCATCTTCTTATTCGAGAAGAAGATCGTCCGAAAACGGCGTTTGTGCTTTTCGAAGGTACATGGCAGTGGATTCGATGTCCGATGGGTATATGCAACGCCCCTGCGACTTTCCAGCGGGCCATGAACATGGCTTTTCATAACTTTGTACGGAAGACTCGTTTGACACAAAGCATCATCAACTATTGCGTGATTATATACATGGATGACATCTTGGTGTACTCAAGTTCCTACGAGGGACACGTGCAGCACATCAAGTGGGCACTGCATGCGTTACGAGATGCAGGTTTCAAGGTGGCGCTTAAGAAGTGTTAGTTTTTCCTCACCACCATTTCTTTCCTGGGGCACGTGGTAACAAACAAAGGGGCTCCAACCAGAGCCGCAGAAGGTGGCAGCTTTCAGGGACGCGCCAGTGCCTATCACTATCACGCAAGTTCGCGCCTTTCTGGGCCTAGCCTCGTATTACCGAAGATTTATCAAGGGCTTCGAGGTGATTGCGGGACCCCTCACAAATCTCCTGCGCAAGGATCAACCGTTGATCTGGACGCTGAAGTGCGATCAAGCGTTTTTCAAAATCAAAGCTGCTCTCATTTCGGCTCCGGTCCTTATAAGACCGGATCCCGAAAAGCCTTTTGTTCTCATCACTGACTGGCAGCCAGAGGTGATTTCGGCGATCCTTGCCCAGGTGGGACCGAGCGGACTCGAGAGTGTAGTGGAGTATGCGTCCAAATCAGTGCCCGCCTGCAAGCGCAATTACGCCGCTCCAACGGGTGAATGCTATGCGGCTCTCTAGGGAATCAGTCGCTTCCATGCTTACCTGTACGGGCGAAAATTCACCCTGGTGACTGATCATGAGCCCCTGTTGGCTCTGAAGAAGTCGAAGGATTATTCGGGCATGATCGGGCGATGGGCAACGGTGCTGCAGAGCATGGACTTTGACATTCGTCATCGGAAGCACGAGAGACACGGGAATGCGGACGGACTAACACGACTGCACCGGCCTGAGAAGGTTCCAAAGGGTGAGGAGATAATTCCGTGGAACGAACCCGAACGGGAGATCGGACCTCGGTACGGCCAAGTGGAGATCTTATCGAAGCAGTAAGTGACACGAGGACTAGTTATTCTGTTCTGATCTCCCTGCATCCCCTCCTCCTCTGCCATCATGACTACCCCACTCGCTTCCGCAACCCCTTCTTCTCCTACTGACTCTGCCCCTCTCACTTCCTCGGCCTTCTTCGCCACCCTTCCTGATAAATTCTGCTATTTTTGCACGTGTATTGTGCGAGTCTATGGGGCCGACTGTCATCCCTTCGAGACCGGATTTGTCGATTGGGTGGAATGTGCCACGTGTGTCAATCGTGCGCACGGAGTCTGCGTTCGATATCGAACGAGTAGCAAGGAATGGAGGTGCCCCTTGTGTAGAACGAACAAGCTCCCCACGGAGTTTCGATTCGAGGCCGCCCGTACGGACGATTCTGAATACGACGAGAAATACCGACGGGCGGAAGTCTGGACGGATAAAATTTTATTGGCAAAATTAGCGGGATTATCATTGG